GTCTTTTCTTCCCTCCTCGGCATACGACCCGGTCCGATTCGACAAGCAAGATATGCACATAACATTTCACAATCCCTCCAACGAGCAAACACGCCAACACCAGCCCCGGGGATAAAAACCGACAACAACCCACAACCACAAAACACGGAGAGGCGGGGGGGGGAGGAGCGAAGCGCGAAGCTCGCTCCCTTTGTCTCTAACAAATCAACACAACTCAACATTTCTGAACAACAACAACAACACCAAATTGTCAGAGAAAACGACCCTTGCGTGGGTCTTTCTTTGCCTTCCCCTTTGCGACATGCTGAGGTAACGGGAACTGTTGGCACACCACGCTGCGCTTCCTTCTGCTCTACAACCCGGTGACTGCTTTCGACGCGAACACTTTGCATCCCGCACGACAGGAGGACCACACCGGCGGTAGTGTACTCATGTCAACGCATGCCGTAGTCGTTCGACCAATGCCCTCGCATCCTGACAATGCCAGGACGGAGCGATATGCCGGTTTTTCGCGGGCCAGGGGGGCGAGTAACACACTCTCGCAAAACACACGCACGAAATATTCGTCGTCAACAAACACCCACTATACTACGAAGGCTCCCTCCTCTCCATCACCTAAAGAGAACTAGTGGCGCCGTTGACAAGATTCGTGGGCGCAGGGCTGCGCGAACAAGTTGATCACCGAGAGTAAAAAAGAGGGAAAGTTCTAAAGGGTGAGCTCGTCATATATACCGAGAGCATAAACGAGAAAAGTCCGTAAAATGAGCTCGTCACATATACTGAGTGGCGAAAGAGGAAAGTTCTGAAGGGTGAGCTTGTCAAGTCAATGGGGTGGCTTGATCAACGAGGTCAGATTGCCCGAGTACGCTACTGACGCCAATAATCGTTGAGTACATATATCTGGTGAAACAAAGGCTATCGGAGCAAACCATTTGCATGCAGTCGCTACTACAGTAGGTCGCTTCAAAAATCAATAAGTGCACACCTCATGTAATGAAGATTGTCACGAAAAATTTTTTCTCGTATAACTCCAAGGGTGCGGATTTGGGATTTGGAACCCTCCACCAATCCTTCCCGCTGCTACCGACGTACAGTATGTAGAGACGACTGTCTCTCATGTACACGCATCTAGCCCCCCAGCTCACACAGCCCCCCCCCCCCCACTGAGGAATCTGCAACAAACCCAACTACATAAAACTGGCCGTCCCAAAAAACGTGATACCGCGTTCGTTCATGGCCGAAACTTAAGTCTTTGCTTTAAATTTCCGAAAATCCAAACCCGAATTTCTTCTGGGGCTACAGCAACATGGCGGCACAATTAAACCCTCTGTTCACGCGGGATACCCCATCAAAAGCTCGTAGACGTTCGTTCGACTCTGCTTTCGAGGGGGAAGGGAAATCTCTCTCTCCCTCTCTGCCGTCCTCTTTTTTTCCTCCGTGTCGCATCACCGAGGTTGAACAGCAACAACTACTCACCAAGTCCGTAACCGCAACACGGCCGCCTCCATGTTGATGTTCTTCTCCTTTTTCAGCTTCACCACAGCCTCACTCCCCACTTCCTCCCCCACCCCCGCTCGAACGTCCGGGAAACGACTCACTCCTCCAGTCCCCACCCCGCCGACTGCCGCCGTCGCCCTCCCGCCCCCCCCTGCTGACTCCCGTATACATGTCCTGGCCCCCCGCCATGCTGGAAGCACCGCTGCTGCTGCTGCTTATGTCTAACGGTGGGCCCACACGTCTCCCGAGCCGCTGTTGGTGCTACTGCTGCTGCTGCTGTTGACTCTGTCGTTGTTTACGAGAAAGGCTCGCTCGTCGGTACCTGCTGTTTTGGGTGTAGGCAGGAGCACGCACAGCCGTCGATCGCATCAATCATTTCTCTCGGCACAGGTTACTGTAACCGATGTTGTGGGGCCCAGGGCGTTCGTGTGGCACGGCGACCTGGCCCATCCCCACACGACCAACCACATGACCCGTCCACTCCAATACCCTGACACATCAGCAGCCGATCGACAAGACAAAAAAATCGGTCACCTCCAAGCTTCGCCGGGGACACCAGCCCTTCCTCCTCGCCGTGATCGTCGTGAGCGTGGGAGCCTTGTCCGTGGCTGGCTGTGGTCGTGATCCCCGTGCTCGTGCCCAAAATTCTGGCATGGAAATAAATAAACAAATAGAGAGATTGTGGCATCTTTGTTTGTTGTGTTGGTGGTGATGGTTTTGGCTCTGCCTGGTGGTGGTGATGGTGGTGGTGGTGGTGGTGCTGGTGGTGGTGCTGCAAATGACGCCATTATTGCCATCGCATTCCCCAGAAAAGCAATACCTTATTTGCTTTATTTACGACTGTTTCTTTTAATAATGCAGACAAATCGTGGAATCACATACATACATACATCCAGATTCGGAAGCTTTCCGCGAGGGACTTTTAGTTTTATATTCTGCTACAACTCTCATTGTATGTACCTTGGTACACTGTTTTCTGATTGGCTGAAGAGGGTTGGGGGGATGACGGCGTGCCTCGTTGCTGCTGTTTCTCTTCCGTTAGCGTCTCCGGAAGCACCCCTCATCCCACTTCATACCCTGTACCATACGTTACTCGGTACTGCACCGAATCCCGGACGGAAGCCCTGTGTGTGGCATTCTTGACGTTTTTCGCAAGGCGGTTTCCGGAGGCACACGCCCGAATAGCGACCCATGGCCCGCGACAAAAACAGCTGGGTACCATGGTTTCACCCAACCTCGCCGAAGGTATCGGGGTCGAAGGTATCGGGGTCTCCGCACACCCCTCCCTGTGCGAAGTGAACGATACCTGCGCGATAATCAATTAATAAATCCCTTTGAGCCCGATTTTTTCCCGCACCCCCCGTGCCAAGACCCCGGCCTGTGCCATGTAGCCGATCCGTGCCAAGACCCGCATCCTTACGGAACATACAATAGACGCAGTTTCCGATGGAGGGTATGACCTGCTTGAGGTGCCCGTGAATTTTAGTGCCACGTCGAGGTTTGCGTGAGGAGCACGGGGTGGCGAAAGAACCGTGGGTCAAGTCGAGGTGGGGAGGGGATGAAACCTAGTTGACCCCGTGAAACCAGGGGCGTGCACCTTGCTGCATGCATGCTGCATGGTACTTTTTCTCTTTTTCCTGAAGGTGGCAACGCGTGTGGTTGATGATTCCACCAGGCTGCACACACTCCTGCGGGGGCCTCACACCTCTTGTTTTTTGGTGTGAGAGGGGTTGTCCATCGACATGGATTGATTGAACGCAATCCGATGCTGAAGGGAGGCATCGTTCGTTTCACTCTCTTGCATGGTGTTTGCAGAGGTCCTCTGAGAGCGGATGAACTACACTGTAGCGTACACAGGTTCATTGGGGGATGGCATTTTGGTTCTGAACCACTACGGCACGTCAGTCAGCAGTACGAAAGTACGCACTACTGCTGTATGCATACATACGGCAGTACACGTTCTCGGTTCTCGACTGGCTCTCCCCTCCCACCATCGCACACATGCACACACGGCCAACGCGAACACTCCAAGAGTCGACAAAAAGGGTGAGGACGAGAAGTTATTTTGGTTATTACGCAAGACGGTGCTTTTATTTTGGGAAATGGACACCGCCGTTGGAGCACCTGGGGGCGAGTACCTCCTGTACGGGCAGTGCTTCAGCCGTTTCGCTCTACGCTGTGTAGGTTGTTTTCAGGTTTCTTTGTCTGCAATAAACTGCTGTCCGTGACTTGGAGGTGCGGAAACTCGCCCGACCAAAAGAAGTGAGACAACATAATGCCCGCGGCGTGGGCTACTACCATGAGGTCATGCGAATACCTTGGATTCCCCGCCGCTGCTGCACACATTTGGTGGAAGTCAATGTCCGGTTGGTTGTCGATGGGTGTCGAAATATTTATGTAAAAGGCAGCAATTGGTGAATATCGACATAATAGAATAGCAAGTTTGGTGAGGCAGAAGCAGATGCAGACTAGACTACTGTTTAGTGATACCGTCGAATTCGCCGGAGGTGTTTTTGTTCCTGTTTTTCGGGGTATCAGATTGGGAGAGTTCCCTGGAGTGGTCACTTTCTCGGATAGTTCATGCGCAAAGGCCCACTGGACAGCGCGGAATAGCAGAATTACACAACACAGCAGTATGATTCTATTGTCCATGACTTGGAAGGGGGAGACTCGTTTTTATCTCTAGTATTGTAGACACGCAAGGGAGCGAGGAGAAGTGGACCCTCCATCAGCCATGTGGAATTTCGAGAAAGGGGGGTCCACACATCATAACCTTTCAGGTATTCCAGGCGATAAGTTTTTAAGGGAGTGGCGAGACAGCCAGGGGAGAACATGGTGTGTGAGGTTGTGGGAAGACAAGACGATGCCCCACTGTAGTGAGACTCTCATGACGACCTCGAATTGGGTAGAGAAAATGGTAGAGTGCCAATTAGAGACCATTTGGAGACTTGGTCGTCTGAGATGTTACGTACAGTAGGAAGAGTACCCCACACCTGTGGACAGGGAAACCCCGGGCTGTTTTCTTAGCGAAGAGAGAGAGAGAGAGACAGTAGTACTGATGGACAGAGACACGGTAGGACAGGCGCAGAGGGCGTCTACAGGAAACGTGTTCTGTCAGTGTGATTTCTCTCTCTTCCTCACGTTTGAAGAGAAACATAAATCCAAAATGACAATTCGAGAGACAAAAAATAAAGAAATATTCTTCCCGCATGCAAATTCAAATGAACCGCGGCATTCCCTCGGTGGCACTTTACCATGACCGAGATGACACTATGGAATCGTGCTTCATTTTTCTTCGTGTTGCACCCCCATGCCCACGTCACTCCGGTAGCAAGCCCGTTGATTGTCGTGAGGGGTCACGACTGGACGGATGATCCTTGCGACTGACGTCATCCCATTCTGTCTTCGATGTTGCCGTCATATCAGACACCATGCGCGCATCGATTGATGTCTTACACCTTGGACTATACCCTCCTCCTGTCCAACGTTGCTTTGACCCATAGATGGACGATGAGCCCGGCATCAACGAGCTCCTCCGGCTGGAGAACGAGTTACAAGGCAATGCACCATCTGTTTGGGACAAACTGTTCGAGTGCGTCTCAATCAGGGAACCGCCGTCTCTTGAGCGGGACGCGAAGGTCAACCTGCTGAAATTCCTTCAAGTCAAAACAGTGGATAAGTACAAACGAGCGTACGACAACTTGTACTATGAGCTAAACAAACAGGGTGGCCTGGAGTGTCTTCGGAGAATAGAGCCAGCCCCTGCAAAGTCCGCCCTATTGCAGCCCATTGTCTTGGAGGAACAGAGGTGTGATGCAGACGGAGAATTTTCAAGTCAGCTGCAGTTCTACCGTAAAGGCGCCGAATGTGCAAAGGAACAACTGGATGAGCTGGTGCAGGAGGTGATCAACGGCCGCGAGGGATGCGAAGGTGTCTATCCCAAGATTAAGACACTCGAAAGCACAAAACGTAAGGCCGTCAGGTTCTATGGTGGAAACGTCCGACGAGTGGCGGACATGGCTCGGGCGGCCGTGATCTGCAACACACCTGAGGATCTCGAGACTGCGTACATTGGGCTCATGGCGCGCATTCAGGTAGGGGTATATTTGAAATATACCTACCTTTCCCGATTCGAATGCCTTTGAAAATGTGCCAAGCTGTCCGCCCTTGGGTTCTCCGCTCGCTAGGTCCGCCCGGAGAGGGCGGTGGGGGCGCACACCGGTCACAAATACGAGGGGTGCACCAGAGTACACACCAAGAAAAATCGGACATACTAAACTCCGATCTCAACAGCGCACATATCTTCGAACGACGCCTCGATCGGGTTTCTGTCCACCAGGCAACCACACACATGAATCCAAACGGTGCAGATCACGATTGTGATCCCGACGGCAGAGTGACGCAGCCTGCCCGCGATGTATGGTGGATTTGTACCGAAACTGTGTGGCGCAAGCCTCTTTTGCACAGGTAGCATGTACCAGGTGTTCTTTTCCTTTTCAACGATGAGTTCTTCCTTGCCCTCCCGGCTATGAGTACCCTCCCCTTCACCATCCCATAAACGTATTCGTCGGTCGCAGTTGTGCAACTACCCTTCGGTAAAGCTGTCCAACCGAAGAGCTCCGACCCGCTCTACGTCCGATGTTTGGGATTTTTCTCCTCCTTGTTCTGTTCTAGTTTTTCTGGACCTAGTCACTGAGGAAACGCTCTTTTTTTACAAGTGGTGCGACTCTCTCTGGGTATCTGTTGCATTCTCTGTTCCCCACTTCGTGGTACCTTGTGACCACGGAAGTGCTTCCTTTGAAAATTATCAAATATCATGAACTGATACATAAGCCGGCACACAGTTGTTTATGTGAAGACAACAGCACGATGAACATAAGCGACACCGAGACCAAACTGACACATTTCGCACGCGATGGAACCACAACCCCGGGCTGTTTTCTTAAGGGAAGAGAGAGAGACAGTAGTACTGATGGACAGAGACACGGTAGGACAGGCGCAGAGGGACCACACTGTGACAAGTTTCGCGCGCGATGGCACCACTAGACCATGCCACCAAAAAAATGACAACAAATACAGATGGGTTCGAACATGAGCAAGAGCAAATTGTTGCTGCTGTTGTCGATGAACTAATATTGCGAATGACTCGCCCAGTGAAGTCATGCTGCAATTGAACCGCCGCCTTTGATCATCTGCCGTGCAGCCACATGACGTGAAGAGGGTGACCAACGGCTTCGACTCTGATTGGATGCCTAATGGATATCGCGACGTCAAACTGAATCCCGTTGTCAACGGGCATCTTTGTGAGATCCAGTTGCAACTACGGAGCTTTTTCAACTTGAAGGCCGGCCAACATGTGGTTTACGAATGGGCGCGGAAGCTCAAAGTAACCACGGAGACGGAGGCTAATCATCTTATCAAGATACTGTCCCGTGAGGTCACACAGGAGATGATCCGCCTTGCTGAACAAAACTGGCGTGGTACCGGGGAATATCTACCTCACATACAGCTCGATGCAGCACAGTACGGCCAAGCTGAGGAGGCCTTCAGACAGGTACTTATCATGTTGATGGAAGAAAGCGAATTCAGCGTCGATGATGCCGATACGGTCGTGGTTGTGATTGCTGCCAAAGCTGTGCCCGCGCTGCTGATATTCCCTTCTTCGAGTGCCACTCGCCTCTATGCCTTACACCGTATCTCCTGCACGTTGTTGGCCTATTGGATCCATGTTTACGTCAGCGACTTTGTCAGGTGGAGGATGAGCGACGGGGTATTGACGACCAAACGAGCAACGAATGGAGAGAAAATCTGCAAGATGAAGCTTGGGCCAGAAGCAACCTCGGTTTTACTTTGGAACGGCAGGTATCAAGCATGCTACTGTTGCACTTTGTGGCCGCTCATTAGCGTTGCTTGGGGCCTGCCTGCTAACTATCCCCATCAAGATGCAGGAACAGAAAATCGTGAAAGAACCTACATCCGTTCCGTTTCAGATTGGTCAGGCAAAAGTAGGTTGTTACCGGTGTTTATTAGCGCCCGACTGTCGTTTCAAGAATACAACAAGGTGTGTTCCTCAACCGGTGATTGCCGCTGCTTGGCCTACACTGTTGCGGGGTGTGCATGAACATGCACGCGGTGTCCCACTTCTCAACAATAGATCTGTTGGCGAGTACGAAAAACGTTTCTGGCTTCTCACCAGCTTTTTTCGTTTCACTAGAGAACCGACGGGAAGAGGGCCGGAAACGAACTTCTCTCTCGGCCTGTGGCACGAAGCGATACAACTTGTCTGCGTATTTCGAAGGTTGCAACAACAATCACCTTCTTAAAGTTGCATCCGTTCGTGCCTGTGAATCAAGCGAGTTCGTCCTTGACCTGCAATGCTTCTCCGAGAGAGTGGTCCCGACCTACATCAAAGAGTGAATGCAGAAAATTCGAGTGCAACAAACTCCGCGGGTGACAGTATGATGTTGAACTGCGATATTGCGCGGTAATCGTTTGTACGGCAATGGGACAACGTAATATGTTCGGTAACGGTGTGGGCGGTAATGGTCAAACCAATTTATCACTATATGGCTTTGGGTGGGAACAAACAGTAATTCCGATTTATCACGGTAACACTGGAAACGGTGATGTCTGAGCAGAGTTGTTGCCGAAGGAAACGTAACAGTCCAGGTTCGTGGTTTCAGCTGTCAAGAGCCAGATTTAAAAGGGGTGTGTTTATGAGGTGCGTTGTACGGTGCTGTTTAAGCTGTGACCTGACTAATTGTGTTCGGCGAAGGTTATTTTGACCTTTTACGCCGAAGGAAAAGAAGCACAATGCATGTCCCGTATGGAAACACCAGGAAGTCCACCGAGCTTGGCTTCCTGCTGATGAATTGGGACTCAACAGCAGTGCCGTGGTTTTCAGTTACGAAGAGTCTCAAACGGAGTGGTGGTGTGCGTTGTTTGCTTTGTGTTTTGTGCTGTGCGTCTGTGCAAGGCTGTGCAACTTTGTCTGGGTGCGTTTCTCGCATATGTACATATGCGCTCTCCCTCTTTTTGTAAGAATGCCAAAAATTGTGAGATTGTGTCGAACCCTCAGAAAGAAATGCCCATACACCGGCCTACAACCACTCACACCCGCCCGGGAAATCTGCGTTCACGTTTTTCAGGCTGTGGTATCTCGACCGCATAACAACAATGGCGAAAGTGGCAGGCCAGCGAGGAAAACACAACGATTAACACGTTCTGAAATCTCTGCCCGTAACGTATTTTCAAAGGGAAAGCCCTCACGTAACTGTCATATTCCACCAGCTGACTTGGTAGTCATACCTCAATTTGCGCAACATTTTCACCCTTGCCCCCTCAGGGTAAAAACGACGAAGCCGAAGCTCTCTACAGGCGGTCCATCACCATCGATGAGAAACTCTACGGTTCCAACCACCCGGAGATCGCAACAGACCTCAACAATTTGGCGTGCTTTTTGAAAAGCCAGGTGAGGACATCTGTAGCGTCTTCATCGTGAAACCTTGTGGCGAGTGCCTGACTAACAATATGCACGATACGTCAAAGATATGCTTGCACCATGAAGATATTGTCGTGCAGGGCAAGCACGATGACGCGGAGCCACTGTTTGAGAGGTCGCAGGCCATTCGAGAAAAGGCTCTCGGTCGAGAGCATCCAGATGTGGCCACATCCCTCAACAACCGGGCATCACTTATGGAGCTCCAGGCAAGACGATTCCGTACTTGAAATGAATCCCAGGGTGAAAAGCTGGTTAGCTCGTTTACATGTGCAAACCTCGTTCCGCGTTGCACGGGCCGCGTCACGCCTTCAAACACGCTGTCTGGTCTAAAGTGTAGCGCAATGCGTGAAGTTCTCGTCGGACAAGTCCGGTCATGTCGAGCGGGAGCCTCATGGTTAGGGCAGACAGCAATGATGGGCGGCTCGTTTGGGTTGCGTGTACAGATAGCTGGAATGTAAGTCTGGTCCGGAACAAGATGGTACATATCTACAGTATTCCGCCCGAACGATTCGCGTGCACCGTTACCACCAGCGACTATTTGAATAAACCTATGGAAACGTCCTCCAAACAGTTAGCTATGGGTACATTCGTTCGCTCGTTGAGCGATTCAAGCTTCTTGATCTCTCCTCTCGAACCATAACCGTATCACAGGGCAAGTATTCCGAGGCTAAAACCTTTTACGAGCGCTCGCTGGCCATCGACAAGAGGGTGTATGGTGCTGACCACCCTGAAGTTGCGACGACCCTCAACAACCTGGCGGGACTATTGGAAACTCAGGTTGGACACACTTTCCAGATTCCATCTGCCCTCGAAATGTTAATGTGAACTCTAACTATTGGCAAAGACCTTCAAATGTTCCGTGAGTGGTTTTGATCGATGACCTGCGGTCTCGCTTCGCAGGGCGAGTACGCTTCGGCCTTGTCGCTGTACGAGACATCGCATGCCATACGAAAGGCGGCCCTTGGCCCGGAGCACCCGGACGTGGCCCAGTCGCTCAACAACCGGGCGGGCATATTCCTCCAACAGGTGGGAAGTTCCACTACTTTGTGCTCGCGCCGTCATGTCGTAACGAGTACAATTCGGCCCGTAATCGAGGCTGTTTGACCTGGTGTGTTGCTCGTCCGCGCTATGTGCTAGCCATGTTCTAGAGGTGCAGACCGTTGTAGTGTGGAGTTTCACGCGAATATAGTCATTCGTATTTGTCATGACGTGTCATTAAAGGCCTTCGCAAAGTGTCGTCTACTAATATGTTAAGCTGGGCTCCCTTGCTTGGTTGTAGAACGTGAGTGAAAGTAATTAAACGTGCAACACGATGGACTCGTGCACTTCTATCGATCAGGCATCAGATATCAGCTCGTTCTCGCTTGCTGGCAACGCGCTTCGTCGGGTGTCCTTCAAGTTGCTTCCGGCGTGCGTTCGCTCACGTTTACCTACCAACGTTTCTCAGGGCAAATATTCCGAGGCCAAACGCCTTGTCGAGCGTTCCCTCGCCATCGACGAAAAGGTGTACGGTTCTGACCACCCGGAGGTATCAGCGGACCTCACCAACTTGGCGGCCGTGTTGACAAAACAGGTGCGAGACACTCCTGGCAACGCTCGTGGTACACCCAGCGGTTCGTGACCCACCCAGAACGAAGCCCAGCCAATAGATAGGTATTACAAGTGACTTACATCGCCCAGCCCTCTTGTGTCTCAGGGTGAATACACGGCGGCTGAGAAACTGTACGAAAGATCGCTGGCCATCCAAGAGGCGGCCTTAGGTCCGGAGCACCCAGATGTTGCGGTGTGGTTCAATAACCGAGCGGAACTGTTGCACGACCAGGTAACCGTCCTTCACAGGGTTTCGGTCGCATGCTTCTCACTGTTGAAGGCATATGACTCTGTGAACACAACGTTGGACATGCTCTCTACGAGTTTTCGAACGTGGCGCAGGAAGATATCGCGGCAGAAAAGCGGCGGAGAACTCGCTGCACGTTGGTGACTGGCTGTAACGGTTTCCTCTCGACCTGTGTAAGATTTCTCGTTGAGTAAAACTGCGGCGGGGCACGTGCTTGGTCTATGAAGCCGACGATATTCTAACGGACTGCCTGTTGTGGATGATCGAGCAATATTCCATTCTCATCGGTGACTCGTTTACGCGAATTTTCGCAAGCACATAGCGGCACCTTTCGAATTCAACATGGTCAGAAGTCTCCCCGAATCAAAACCTTTGTACCTACGCAGCACTCGTTGTCTACCTCAAATTTTTCGTCGTCATTGCCAGGGAAAATGTTCCGAGGCGAAGCGTCTCTTCGAGCGCTCGCTGGCTATCACCGAGAAGGTATATGGTCGTGACCACTCGGAAGTGACAACCGTCCTTGACAACTTAGGGGGCCTGCTCAAGACCCTGGTGAGGTGCATAGTCGTTGTTTCAACTTGAGCATGCTATGGCAACGATTGTCGACGGTGAAGGGTATTTGGACATCTGGACATGGTATGGCTCCTCGGGTTGTGCGGTTCTGACTTCAAAGTGTACAAGCTAAGGTTACGCTCGAGCCAGGCAGAATACCGCGATCCTGTCACTGATCTTCGCACAAGAGGGCTGTCTTCACCTTCCGAGAGAGCTGCTTGCTCTTGGGTTCAGAGCCCAGACTTACGACTATTCTTGTGAATTTTCGGTTGTGTGCGGTTCCTTTTACCGTTCACACCTGCGTTCAAGCGTTGCCATGCACCCGATGGAACCACTCTGGTCAAGACGGTTGGCGACGCTGAACGTTTTGCGTTTGATTGTCCATCACCCTAGCCAACGACCGTTCTGCTTTTTCATCCAGGGAATGTATGCTGAGGCCGAGTCGCTGCACACGCGCTCGCTATCCATTAACGAAAGGGCTCACGGGAAGGACCATCCCAAGGTTGCAACGGACCTCAACAGCATGGCCGTACTGCTGATCGAGCAGGTGAGAGCTGAGAGCACCTTGTTTAATTGTGCGGCCAAGACTCTACCAGAAACCTGGATTGCAACGTCTCGAACCGTTCCTGGTTGAACCGCGTTCTCACGAACGCATCCGACTGACTCGGATTTGTACAGGACATGTTTGACAAAGCCGACCCATTGCTTGAGAAGGCCGAAGCCATACGAAAGAAAGCTTTTGGTCCTGATCATCCGGACGTGGCCGTGGTTCTCAATAACAGGGCATCGTTGTTGGTGCACCAGGTGAGGAGACTCTCCGGCGTGTAAACAACGCTATTCTAAGTGTGGGGCTGGCCTCGAACGTTCACATGAACGTACGGAATCTCAGAGAGTCTGCGCGTGGTTCGCTCTGTGCTCCGAACTACGAAATTATGTACGTTTTCACTTGCTGCTATTCTGAAGGCCCAATGGCTCGCCTAACTGCTTCGTTCCCCAGGGCAATTACGCTGAGGCTATAGCCTTGTACGAGAGCTCGCTGGCTATCCATGAAAAAGTGCATGGCCGTCACCATCCGGAGGTTGCGACAGTCCTTGACAACATTGCGGAGCTTCTGATGCAACAGGTGATGATATTTGTCGACGTTTGACGTGATTGGACTGTTGCTTAAACTCGAACGAAGGGAATCTCGCCACTCACTCGCATCGTCGCACCGTTGTTCGTGCAGGAGATGTATGAGGAAGCTGAGCCATTGGTTGTGAGGTGTCTGACCATAAGACAAAGTGCCCTGGGCCCAGAACATCCGGATGTGGCATCGTCACTCCAAAGGCGGGCGTCGTTGCTAGACGTGCAGGTGAAAAACGAGGGTCTCATCCTTAACCCCGGGCCACGTTTTCCGGGTTGGGTTAATCGTTGGGTTCGGAGGGGTTTTCTCTCTCTCTCTCTCTCTCTCTCTCTCTTTCTCGTCTTCTCTGCCAGTCATCTGCATTAAGTCAAGTTGGCTGTGGTCAGCCCGGGTAATGTACCTGCGTGAAACGTGTTGAGCATTACACATAGGAGGCCGTGAAGCTGATCTTGAACCACGTGTTTTGCAGGGCAAACATGACAAGGCCAAGCCCCTGTTGGAGCGCTCCGTGGCGATCAACGAGGCTACGTTTGGCTCGGAGCATCCCCATGTCGTTGCATCCCTCAACGATTTGGCGGCGGTCTTGGAGAAGCAAGTGGGTGTTTTTCCTAGACGTCGTCGTGACCCAAAAAGTTGTTTCCAGGTAAACGAGATAGTAACGTAGCGCCCTCCTTGTGCCCAAGTATTATGGTGCGAAAGTGTCTGGGGCTGTGTTGGATTTCGCCAACCCTCGAGTGCTCGACCTACCCCTTCGTGAGGGTTTCGTAACACTCGCAGTGCGGGACGATTTTCTTGCTTGGTTGTACCCCTACTGAACGATAATCGCTCGGCATTTGAATCCCCCCTCCTTAGGGCAAGTACGCAGAGGCGAAACCCCTCTACGAGCGATTGCTTGCAATCAACGAGAAGGCGCACGGTCCTGGCCACCAGGACGTTGCAACGTCGCTCAACAACTTGGCTGTGCTAGTCTGCGAGCAGGTGAAGGTTGAACTAGATTGATTCACAAGCTTTTTGTTCTGTTTCTTTTGCATTCCGAAGTTGTTCAACCAGTACTCTGGAGCTGAGAATATTTACCTTACCAGCCCGAAATCGTTGTCACCGCCTTCAGGGAAACTACGACGAGGCTCGTCGCCACTTGGAAAGAGCTCTGCAGATCAGGACTAATGTCCTCGGGGAAATGGGTCCAGATACTATCGAGATCCGAGACACCCTAGAGTTCGTGCGGGACCAGGTTCGTGAAAACAGAGCCGACACGGCGTAGACAGCAAAATCATGCATTCGACCTAAGAAACCACAGGCCACTTTATGACGTCCTGCTGGGGCGATCTCCGCGAGTAGGACTGCACCTGCGCGCATGGGTTGCATCTGCGTTGCCACTCTCTGAACGGGTCAATGACCACACGGTTGAACGGAAATCCCTGCTCTGCCTGCTTAGTTAGTAGGTGAAGTAGAGCCGGATCGGTCTATTTTGGGCTGGGAATTATGGCAATATGGTGCGTACTTTGTACGTCCCTGCGCTGTTCTCGTTTGTTCCCACACCGTCTCGTCCTAAGCGTTGCTTTCGTTTGTGTTTTTTGCCTCTAATCACAGATTGAACCAGCTGAACCAGACGCCAAACGTCCCAGAGACCCTGATGATGCGCTGGATGGGACGGAGCTTGAAGGGAAAAAGGTAAGCGCATCGGGTAACCCCTATTTACAGGCTGATGCACAGACTGAAAGCATGCATCTTACCCGAATGCTGACTGGAGAGGATGAACGTACTCAGCTCCTTGAGCGGTCTCCGCAATGATAACAGTCGACGCGGAGTTTCTTGAAATAAACGTGGTCGGCTGTTCTTAGCTGTTTTTGGAAAGATGTGGCGAACATGTTTACCACGGCGCTACTCGGGCACCCGTGCGTCTCGTTTTGGCATATGAAGCCGACACGCTGCCGTGCGATGCAGGCCATCCACGGCGTGCTGTGTAGCACTGAAACACCTCGTACACTCGTGAAACTTGCGGCACTTGCCCTGTCCAACCATGTGCACCAAGATACGAGCTTCGTCTCCACCCCGTCTTGACTTCCGCGTCGCACATTGTAAACTCAAGAGTTATGTTCCTCGTCTCCATTTATTTTCTCCGCTTGTACCTTGCGACACCAAAGCAACGCCAGCGCAAGGGAGGCACAGAACCCACACCATCTTCAGCAGCTACTCCTCGCGCATCCCCATCTGCACCTACGCAAGCGCTAGAAGCATCATGCGCGACTGCGGTCGATCCGGAAACGACCAGGCAACTCGCCAATACGCAAGACTAGGCCCATCTTGCGTGTCGCGGAAGACAACCTTGCCGTTGTCGCCCTTGGATCAGAACCCACGGCCATCATTGACAGCGTTGAAGTGCACTAAGCTACCCTGACGCACGCCATTGTATTTTTGCCGCTCACAACCGGAACTTGGCTTGTAGTGTCTAGCCCTAAGACAGGAAACAGAACCGTGGACAGCGTGCATGCTGCGGTGTTGGTCCGTCAAACGGGTAGAACGGGTTGCTGTGGTGCGCGCTTCATTTGGGTGCTACCTGTGGTATCTGGCTTTCATTTGGGCAACACTTACGGTATGTGTTGATGTCCGAGGCAGCCAAAGAACCTATAAGGGCATAACTTTATTTCGATACCTGTGTCCTGTCCCCAAAAAATCCATGGTACGACCCCCAAAGCCAAACAACAGCATGGATTTGGGAGGACGAGTGGAATTACTTGTAGAAGTCTGTTTTGTCATGCGTGCGTCATACCTGGATCCACCGCCGTTGTGGGGATTCGCGAAAGGTCGACCTAAACACCCAACATTGCACTTTCCAGAGAGGGGAACACACGAAGGTAGCTCTTGCGCTGACTGTTCCAATTCCAAGCTCATGACCACGTTCAATCAGTTTGAGTCACCCGAGTTTCGCGACCCAACCAAGAACAATTCGCGCCAAAGCGTGCAAACGCTAGGGGCAACGAGAAACGATCGAGTCAGGTTCACTGCAACGCCGCATCTACAAAGCAGGCGCGACACATCTATCGACATCAGTTCAGTGACAGCGTAGAAAACTCCCATGACTTTGCTATCCTTGGTCCATAGGCAATCGTCTCCAATACTACCGTCTTGACGATATACCCGCCCCACACACATCCTGTCGTGCCATACAGTATTGCATAGATCACACACACCTAGTGACCGTCGTCTTACACATCGGTTTGTCGCATAAGCGACCCTCAAACGGCGATCTGATCCAGAACATGGTGGTGAGGGCACGCGTGTTGAGCTACTAGCAGGCTGATGCCATCACGCGTTACGACTACGGCAGAGGTCGGCCATGAGACTCCGGCAATCGGTTGGCTGAACTGATGTCCCAATGACAACTGACGTAGGGACGCCGGCCATACCACTTCGATAATCGGCTGGTTGAACATTTCCCCGAACGATAGGCATTTTCCAGGGAGCCCGGCCACTGAACTTCGGCGATCGGCTGGTTGAATCTTTTTCCGAAGGACAGGTGCCGCAGGGAGGCCGACCACTCGACTTCGGCGATTCGTCGGTTGAACCTTTCACCGAACGATAACTGCTGTAGGGAGGTCGGCCACTCGACTCCGGCCATGGGCTGGTTGAACCTTTTTCCGAACGATAGCTGCTGTAGAGAAGTCGGCCATCTGACTCTGGTAATGGGCTGGTCGAAATAACACCAAATCGAAAGTTGTTGCAGAGAAAACGGCCACTTGAATGCACTCGCGCGCAGTGTGAAACATTTCCCAAACTCCAGTTTTCGTAGAGAAGGCGGCCATACCATCGATGGTGACGTCAAAGCCGACCCTTGGTCCAACAACAGCCTTTCAAGTCTTGGCGGCCAAACCACCGGCTCCAGGTCTGATGAAAGTTCTATTCCCTCGATTCGCAAATCCTCCAACCATTCCCACCGTTTGTCGCCCGCATTACTCAGAAATGAATGTGTCCTCCTATTCACCCACACCAATTGGAGCGCCAACACGGGCGGCACACGTCTCGAGATGTGAGTCTCCGGGTCCCACAAGCTGTTTGGCGTTTCTTGGTCAACACGCACGTGCAAGGTCGGGATACTTCGGCGCTCGCAGCAAAACGCCAAGCATACGAGCTGTAGCTCTAGCGTGGACGTGTACCAGGGCTTCTCCCGTCCTTTGTGAGCTTGGTTCAAGGCCATGCTGAAGGCGTCAAGGCACCGGTTCTCCCCTAACGTTTGCCAGTACAGGACACAGCGTGAAGCATAACGTATGTTCGGTATGAGTTGTTTATGCGTATGTACGACATCGTGACGCCTTTAGGAGGCGCTCAAATCAAAATGAGACGAATAATCATCATGAAGCTCGAAGGGGCCGTTCGTGGATAAAACCAAATGAAGAATTCCCATCACGGGACTTTTCCCAGGAGGGTCGGGAGTCATCTTCTTGTAGAGAGTTCTAACAACCCACACAATGATATCCACAGATGAGATGCGTACAAGCAACCTTACCTTGACATGCCATGCTGGCAAACAACCGGTCACTCTAGGTGCTATGGTTGTCGCTGCCAGTTGCAGAATTAACGTAGCAAACAGACAGCCTCAACACGCCCATCTACAAATCTGTTCGGGGCAGAGCCCAAAGAGCTTCGCTCCTAGCTTATTTGTTGTTCGTAGGTCAAGCTGCAAGCAGAAAAGTACCCCAAAATTGATCGCTGAACGACCACCTGCTAACAGCCGAGCAGAACGAACGGCCGGTGTCACAAAATGCGTCCGAGACTAAAATACACCGCAAGGAACTTTGCAGGCAAAGCTGTGGAACAGTGTATGTCCAAGTGACAAGAAACAACTTGCACTATTTCCCCGCAACTGTAGCGACGCTCCCCCATAGGGTGAAGGGTATGGGGGCGCGATGAGAGAAAGCCGAAAGAAGAAAAGTCTCGTTCATTCGAAGTGGTACGACTTAAAAGAGACGGGGGGGGGGGGGGGGGTACTCTGATGTTTTGCATGCCTTAGCGGTTAGACCATTGACCACGCGTCCTCGAGAGGACGGAGCATTGTTCCCACAGGACCGATCACCGATGGCCAATCAACCCTTCCTACTTTGCCAAAGGTGGCTCAAAAATGTCTTCCCTAGTCTGTCTATCCTAACGATATCCCTTCCCGCCTTTTCAAACCACTTCCTACTCCCCAGTACAGCTACCGTCTTCTCCTCGCTATTCCATGCCTCAAACATCTCCCTGTACCTGCCTTCTATTTTTCCCAGCTCAGTCATGTACACTTCCCTCTCCTCTTCGTACTACGGACATTCCGCGACTACATGAACACGGTCTTCGCATTCGAAGCCGCAATCACATTTGAACTTGTCGTCTTCGTCGTCTACCGTCCTATGTCTTCGTCGACGTTCTCGAAGGCCTATGTCCCCGGTCCTGAGTTTGACCTTAAGCTTTGTCCCTGCACCCATTGGTCCATGTAGGTCATCCTTGAACCCTATTCCTTCTTTCAACATTCCGTACACTTCTAGACCCCTCCTTATCCTCGGTTTCTTTCCTTAGATTATGTTCTTCTCTCTCGGCACAAGCAACAGATATCTTCTCCTTGAACCCCTGTAGACCCTCCGTTTCCAACGTTTCATCTTCGTCAATGTCTAACCCCTTCCATACGTCCTCTACAACATTGACCCATTCCGTGGGTTGTCTACCCCTCTTTGCCCACTTCGCCTCCCATGCTATTCTCGGCAACCTCTCCTCTCCCATCCCGCACATGCGATACTGCCATGTCAGCTTCCTTGCGTCTCTTCCCGACCGTAGGGTTTGGATCCCCAATTCTGCCCTGACGGCTGCATTACTGTGCGCTTGGAGCATCCTAGGATGATTTTCGCTGCTTTCATCTGCGCGGCCTCGAGTTCTTTCACTACCTTCTTATTTCCTTCCCATACTTCTCCGGCGTACTCTAGCGGCGGTACGATTACGCTCTTCAAAACCGTCAATTTGATGCGTGTATCGAGGTGCCGGTTTGCGAGTATTGGGTGCAGCTTCCCTGCTCGTGCTTTGCCCTTTTCCGCTACCTTGGACATGTGTGCATTCCACGGGGGGGGGTGTACTCATAGTCGTGCATGCCGTAGTCGTTTGACCATTGACCTCGCATCCCTATAAAGCCGGGACGGAGCACGCCGGGTTCTCACCGGACCAGGCTCTCACATCACCAAGCGCGAAGCGCCGTGAGGTATTCGGCGAGTCGAATGAAGGGTGAGCTGCATCTTGCTAAGGGTGTTCGGCATCTTGTGTTTACTTCCTTACGTACGGATGACAGCTACGTATGACTTAATTTATTTTCTGGTGCTTTCACTTCCAAAGACAGTTGTAAGCACTGTGTAACTGCCTCGAGGATGCTTGACCATTTTAACACAACGTGGTGCGATCATCCCCCGTTGCGCGGAGTGAGGGTTCTCCACCCCGCACAACATGATCTACTCGACCACCATTATGGTTACCGCCAAAAAAAAAAAACGAGGTAAAAAAACAAAAAAAACGGTAACCTGGTTGCCGAGTTCACGAAGTGAATTGGCTTGTTTTACAACGTCGTTGCCAAGCGACGAAAACCCAATCCCGATGGCAAACACCGAGGGGGGGGCTTGTTTTACAACGTCGTTGCCAAGCGACGAAAACCCAACCCCGATGGCAAACACCGGGGGGGGCGGCTTGTTTTACAACGTCGTTGCCAAGCGACGAAAACCCAAACCCCGATGGCAAACAAGGCCGAGGGGGGGGGGGGGGCCCGGGGGGGGGGGGGGGGGGGGTTACCCATTTCGGGGGAGCCCAAATCTCTTGGACATTGAA